AACGACATCAATTACAACCTTCCAGCTAAAGTTTATTATCGGTGGCGGAATTTCTATCCAAAATGTAACCTTCTGACCGGCCGACTAAGAGGCGTTAGACCGACTAATCCGTCACAAAATTAATTTCTCTCAAAACACTGAACCTACCATCATTGATTAAGGAGAATATACGTTGATTGTGAATTTCGACCAGTTTAAAAGCCAAACGGTCGCATACAACAGAAAGCAAATCCTTCAATTCTAATTATGGTGAATTTTACCATCAAAATCTTGAAAGTTTGAAATCGTTGACATTGGGGTCGGACAACAAATTAACATCTTCACATTATTTTCAAATTTAATTATACTCTCGTTGTCGCCAAATTATTGTTCAGTTTGAATTTTATTTTTAATACAGAATTAACTAAAAGTAAAAATTCAAAATGGACAATAGTTTTGGTGCAAAGAAATTAATTAACAGTACATCATGCCTCAATGGGGACTACATTGCAGTACCATTCTCAGGAGACTCTTCCAACATCATTAAGAAGTAAGATCTATTTAGATTGGAATAATTTTCCGTATTAAAGACTTAGGTAGGAGTATGGCATAGATTAGGACAATATAGAGATATTATGGGATTTATGTTTTAAATCTTTGTAAGACATTCTCTTAGTTTCAAGTAATTTTTTTTTTCTCAAATCTAGCAAGAATTGGCAGGGGATGGATGTAAAGCTATCTTTGTAAGCCAGTTCATAGTTACACATTGTTTGAGTATCGTCATGGGGTTTTTAAAAAAACTTTTTGTAAGACGATCTCTTTTGAATTGGGTAAGTTTTAAGCACTGCCCTTTGTAACTTTTTTCTTTATATTAATAAAATCAAGGGATGCCCGCTAGGTATCATCCTGGTTTTCTTAAAAAAAAAAAAAAAAAAAACCAGTATATATGTCCTTAAATGATTATCCGATTTGAAATTTCACTTTTATTGCAATTTTTACTAATATCAAAATCCAACTAGACAATCATCTAGAGACCTAAAGAGTAATAAATAACATCTAAATTATTTTTAGGATAGTGATTCTACCAAAACAAAAATTTGACCTAATACCACAATTATCTCTAATCAATAATCAGTTAGAAAAGCAATTTTTTTTCTTCATTTTCTCTCCTCTTTCGGTTTTCATGGTCTAATAACAATCCCATATCCAGACTCCAATATAGCCAACCCCGTTCTTAAGTAGTTATGCAATTGGAATTGTTTTGTTTACAATGATTTGGGATATTTACCCCCCCCCAAAAAAAAAAAAAACTAAAACTTAAAACAAAAAATAAAAAATCAAAGATTTGGAATATTTGCTTGGTGCCTTTTTTTTTTTTTATGCCGTTCTTAATTTCCTCCAGCAGGCTTGAAAAACTCAAACCCAGCTGGTCTAGGCATAACTTCGAAGCTTGAATTATCACAAATAAGAAATCAAATTGAAATAATTGGAGAAAAAAAAAGTTTTCACTTAACCTGTTTTATACTCTGATTTTAACATCTAATTTGAGGGGAGGGGGGAGCGAAATTCCTTTTCTATCTCGCGTAAACTCATCTTAATCAGCTATTGAAAAAAATGACAACCGCTAATGTGTCGTGGATAGTTAGAAAATGACCAATGTCACTTTCCCTGATCATGCGAGTAACTATGCGAACTTCTCCAACAATTTTAACATGCATGCTTACGGACCATACAAGTCTTGAATATGGTTTAACAGTTAAATACATTATAATTTAATTTGTATCAAATGGTGTGGCTGCCAATTGTTATTTCAGCGGATGAGGCGTGATACCAAGAGAGGGGAAAAGGTGGAGAGATATTAAATTTAGATTATTTTGTTAATGAAAATATTTTAATAAAAATTACTTTGGATGCTAGTTTTTGTTATGAAAATTTTATAAGTTTAAACTAGCTATTTTAAAAAAGAAGGCCGCGCTCACTCATGCCATAAACTTTGACTCCCCGCCACTTCATGGTTATAGGGTTTTATAAAATATCTTATTAAAAGAACGCATAATAAAATGTTAAAAGAGATGTAATTGTAAGAGTAGGGAAACAAAGAGTCAGGTACAAAGCTCCTGACAAAACAATCAATATATATCATAGTATTGTAACATTTGTATCAAGACTATAAAAATATACTCTAATTTTTGAAATTGTCAAAAACAAACTATGAAATGTTTAAATAATATACTCCTTTGTCCCTGTTTAATTTACAGTGTGAATTATTTTTGTGGAACGACAGAGTATAAAAAATATGTGTATTCCCTTGCTTCCTCTCGTGAAGATGTTATCTGTTTTTCTTTTTATTTATAATGTAAAAATTAGTTCAGAACATTTTTGCTTACATTATTACAATTTTCTTGAAACGCACACACACATATACATATACATATATATATATATATATATATATTACTCATTCCGTAACAAAAAGTACAATTCTTTTTATTGTACTATTTTCTACAAACCCAAATTTCATGTATTCAAGTAGCAAAGAAATGGAAATTTTTTTTTGATGAATTTTTTTATAATTTGTTTAGTGTTGTAGAAATATTTATAACTGGAGTATTTCATTGTATTTAAAAAATACGGACAGCGTAAACATAAAAATACATAAATATATAAGCAGATTGGAAAAATATGATGCTAAATATTTATTTCTATAAAATATTTATAGTTATTTAAATATATATATATATATATCAAAATAATACAGTTTGAAATTTGTTTTTCAAGAACAGTTATAATTTGTTTGGTAATACTATAAGAGTAATAATCTTTACAGATCAAAGTTATAACAAAGGAAACCCAACCAAAAAATAAAAATCAAGGTTATGTGTTTAGAAGGTCGTAATATAATATTTTTTAGGTAACACCAAGTTTTATAACTTCTTAATAATTCATTAAGTCTCAGGAGTCTTTTGAACAAAATTAAGGTGGAAGTTGAACTACCCATTAATATGATAGATTTAGATTTGAGTTGAAGTAACTTTTCGACATTGATTTAATATACTCTTGTGATATCAAAATATTTATGGAGGGAAAAGAAACACAGAGATAAAAAAAATTTAAAAAAAAAAAAAATCCGCTCTCGTTTTACATTGCTTACACGAAATCTTTTTTATAAATATTGTACGAGAAAGCCACTAAGTAAACTCTATAAATGCAAATGTATCTCATAAAGTCGCAACTATTCAGAAGAAATCTTTTACTACGTTCCCCGTTTTATTGCTCCAGAATGATTAGATTACATAGTAAACGATTAAATGTGTGTGAATCGGTGTTTATGTTGCTCTCAATGTAGTATTAATGTTGTTGAAGATTTTCTTCTTTTTTTTTTGTTTTCTTTTGGAGGAAACTATTACTAAAAATCTCATACCATGTAAAGAGCGCTGATGCATGTTTTGCAAGTTTGTGTGAAATTAAATTTTTTAAAAAGAAAAAAAAAACACTAAACATAGCTACTCGGCGGATTTTTATTATAGCGATCACACGTCGTGGATTTTTTATTTTTTTATTTTTAAGTTTCATGCGAGTATTTTGACTGAATTAATATACAGGAAGTCAATAACAAAAATTGTAAAAGTATAAACACATAATAGGATCAGTAGTGCATAGATTCTTTATAATGAGTAAATGCATAGATTAAAAATATACAGCCTGTGTCCCAAAAAAGTCTAATTTTAGAAATGTAAATAATAAAATTAGACTTATGAAATTTGTATGACATGTATTCAATAATAATAAAATTAATTATTAAATTATTAAATAGTCATGAAACTTTATTCAATTTTTCATATTTATTTTTTAATTTATAAGATTAAGTCATCTACTTTTTATATTTTAGTTTTTCAAATTGAACTATTTTTCTGAAATGAAGGTGGTATTATTTATGTTGCATATTCTCGAATAAAACTTAACTTTATACAATACTACAAACCCGTCAGAAAATTCAATAATTCTTCTTTTTAGCTTAAAAATCCAAAGTATATAGATTAGTGATAAATTAATTTTCTTTTTTATAAAAGGAAAACAAAGAGCTAGTTGTTTCTTAAGTCTTCCTTTTCTTGATGTACACAGTAATGAAATTTATGCAGTTGATGTTTAAATTATCTATTCAGAATAACCGAGTAAATCCACACCAAATAATCTTAAATTTTCATACAGAATAAGCGAGTACACGCTGCTAAGTCGTGTTCGAATTCAAATAGTGTGGAATGTGGATATAGACATTCACTAATCACTAGTTTCTATTTCTGACAATCACATGAATTTTACCCCCTACAACTTTTGAATTTCAGACACTATTTGTCACCTATAAATAATGGGATCTCTCACCTCCATTTTTACAACACTAGACCTTGCTTTTAACTTGCAGACACACTCTTTGTTTTTTCAGTACACTATTCTTATTCACTACTAATTAAAAGGGAAAGAACTTTCCGATACTAAACAAGAAGAGGCGGTAAAGGTAACTCTAGAACATTATTTTATTTTATTTTCTTGTTTTTGGGTTCTTGATTCTCTAAAAGTTTCAAGGGCTTTGATATTGTTTAAACTTTTTTCCGAGTTTGAAAAAACCATTATCAAATATGTAAATTCCTGTTAAATTAAGATCAGGGGTTTTTGTTATAATTTTGTTCATAAGCAATAACTTGCATTTTGTTTCTTTAATTGCCTGATGGATATGCTCAACAAAGAGTAAAGATTCAATATGAGGTTCTAAACAAGTAATGAGTCTTCTTAGATTGTTCAAGAATATTGCATCTTCAGCAAAAACGAGTGATTATAGAAGAATTTATGTTAATTTCAAGCATTAGTAGTGAAACAATCTGTATGTTATCATGTATCTATTTCATATGGTAGTGTCAGAATTTGTCCGTAGGAATAGAGGTCAACTTTTAAGCAATAAAATTTGAAAAGAGATGAGTAAAATTCTTTAAAGATTTGGTTTTCTTTTAAGCCAAAATCAAAATTGTCTTGGGAGTTGTGTTTTGTCTCGACTCTTGATAGCGTGTTTGAATGCAAATTGCAAAAAGTATATATGACTCAAATGCTGTTACAGAGCTCTTAGCTAAAGGGAATCCAATCAGATTTAATGTTGTTCATTTCTTAAAATTTGCAGACTTATCAGTTTGGTAGCTGAGCATCTGTAATCTACTTCGAGCAACATTTATCAAAAAAAACAAAAAAAAAAAAAAAAACTTTGAGCAACAGATCCCGACTCTTTAAGATGGCGTTCTTAGAAGAAATGGGATTCTTTGATGATTTGGATCCCCTTTCAACGGGTTATGGAGAAGACGACTTCAATCAGGAGGCCGAAAATGGAAGGTTGATAGAGGATGAGAACAATGATGAGGAGGTGATGGATATCAGCGAGCTCGAGAAAAGGATATGGAGAGATAAAATGCGGTTGAGAAAACTGAAAGGAAAGCAGAAATTTGAGGAAGCTGAGGAAACTTCACAGCAGCGTCGAGAAGCAAAGGCGCGGAGGAAGCAGATGTCGCGCATACATGATTGTATGCTGAAGTCCATGCTAAAGATGATGGAAGTTTGCAATGCGCAAGGTTTTGTGTATGGCATCATTCCTGAAAAAGGTAAACCTGTCACCGGTGCATCTGACAATCTTCGCGCTTGGTGGAAGGAGAATGTGCGGTTTGATCAACGCGCACCAGCTGCAGTTGCCAAGTATCAAGCAGAGCATTCTGTTGGAACGAAGGTTGAAAACGGTGGCGCAATTACATCAACTCCTCGCACTTTACTTGAGCTTCAGGATTCTACTCTAGGATCACTTCTATCGGCTCTCATACAGCACTGTGATCCACCTCAAAGACGGTTTCCTTTAGAGAAGGGTGTACCTCCACCGTGGTGGCCTACTGGTAGCGAGGAATGGTGGCCAGAGTTAGGTCTGCCAAAGGATCAAGGTTCTCCTCCATACAAAAAGCCTCATGATTTAAAGAAGGCTTGGAAAGTAGGTATCCTGACAGCGGTTGTCAAGCACATGTCTCCCGACATCTCAAAGATTCACAGGCTCGTTAAACAGTCCAAGTGCCTTCAGGATAAGATGACAGCCAAGGACACTGCAACTCTGCTTGCTATGGTTAACCACGAGGAGATTTTGGCTCAAAAGCTTCATAGTCATGCTCAGGCAATGTATACCGACACCAGGAATGAACCTTTTCCTGCTACTGATTCCTGTGACATCCAATTTAAGACATTGGATGGCGAGACTTGCAATGGTGGAGAGCTCAACAGTCTAGTCCACCCATTTACCACGATAGCTGAAGACACGGAGAAGGTTCCCTTAGTCGGGATTAATTGCAATAAGCGGAAGAATTCATCTGTAGAGGGAGACATGGAAAAGAAAAAGTATACCTGTCATAATCAACATTGCCCCTACAGTTCCTACAACCAGGGATTTGAAAACATGACACTGAAAATGAATCATCAGTTTTACTGCCTTTATGGATCTGATGCTTCTGGAAGTCGTGGCGCATCAAACTATCCGGTGAGTAATAACCACTACCAGAACTTGGCTATCTCTTTACCTGCTGCTCAGCCTACAGCTGCTTCTCAGTTCAGTGTTCAGGATCCATCTAGCTGGAATATTCCTGAACTTGGTATTCCAGAAGACGGTCAAAGGCTAATATCTCAGCTTATGTCCAAGTACGATAACAACTTTCAAACAACTGCTGGTTCTACTTCTGGGAATGTAACGTCTATCGAAAATCGAAACCTGCAGCACCTATCATCCCATCTTAATGCAAATGGAAACCTCCTGACTTCGAGCGTCATGCTAAAAAATGGAGTATTGCAAGAAACTGTGCCTCCGGGCCACAATGCTTTCCCTGCGACTGGATTTCTATATGCTGCTTCAACACCAGCATATGATTTATTTTGCAATAGAAACCTCGACAACGACAGAGTGGACTTCGGTTATGGTACACATTCTAGGATACCTTCCTTTGAAAACTCCATGGATGCATTCCCAAGATATCATGTACCTTGGTAAATCAAAGCTGTTTTCCCTCACCTGAAGATGATTTGGACTAAATGAAGTTGGATTCGAGGATTGTTACTTATGATTTCCGAGAACTGCTTATATCTTTTGTAAACCATTGTTTTTGCTGGTTTTTTTCCCCTGCATTTTTGTAATTAAGCTTTTGTGACAAACTGAAAATCAGAGTGAAACTGTTATTTCTTATCAGCCAACCCCCAAAAAGGGAAAAAAATAAATTATAAAAAATAAAATAAAATAAAACAGAGAAAACACGTTACTAAGAAACCCAGAATCTGATTTTGCAGTAGTGGATAGTAACATAATTACACTTCTGAGGAATCCAATGAAGTTGCAGTAAATTCATACTCCACCGTCATATTTTAAAAGCCATAATTCATGCAAATGTCTTTTTGATTGATTTTTACTAACATTCATAGTAATAATTCCAGAACTTTCATTGACAACCTCTTCACCAAATCACCTTCTTTCTGAAAAGACCATAACGAGCCCACCATCAATCTAGGAGGCCAAGATCAGAATTTTGTATCATAGAATGTTGTTCTCTACAACCCCAACCCCGTCAGAAGACAGAAATCATAAAACTGACAACCATTTAGGGACAAAAGCGAGTAACGTAACTACCATGTACCCAAAAGTACAATTTGTACATTTGCTGCGCTAAACGAGCAATACTTGTCAAAAGAGCCTAAACGTCCTATCTTTATACATGGCTTCCCTAGAGCTGCACCTAGCTAGCTCAATCTGACATGCTCCAAATGTCTTACAAGACCCCCTAGTATTCTTCTAAGTTATAAAGTTAGGAACTAAAAGTCTTCCAAAAAATTTAAAAAAAAAAAATGAAGGGAAAAAGGGTGCCGCAAAAGCTGGTAGGGAAGGGAAGGGATGTGAAGCAGACAGCACCAGCAACTAGATGATATCACCTAGAAGTTAAATGCACACTTTCAGGCGTTGTAATTTAGCTCCAAAAAACAGCAGCAAGCGATAATATTTCATTCCCCGCCCATATTTTGATTAACTGAACTATTTGCAAGGCCTTGAACTACAATCTGAGAATACACCAACTTGTTTACATGAATTCAGGGCAAGTGATCTTTAGTATTGCACCAAAAAAACTATGCCAGGTTGAGGCCTTTACCCAATATAAGCACAAAACACGGTCTTCTCTCGCCAGGAAAGTGGATCGTTTGTACCCCCGCAACAGGCTGCAGGTCATCGACCATTGAATTGCTTTTCCAAGAGCCTGCTAAAGTTGAAGAAAAACCATTAGCAAGGCAGCAGATATATGAAATAAAAATGATAGGCTATTAGCACTACATCTTTATTTCCCTTTTTGAATTGGTCTGTTGTACTTTAAAGGATAATTTTCGTTCCACAACATCACATCTGTGTCATTTCATCCATTGCTTAGCAGACGTAAAATTAATCGGTAGCATATCTTTATTCAGGCATTAATTGATTTCGGTCAGACCCTTGTCATACGTATCTAAGAAACCCTGTGACTGATTGCATATGTTTGCACTTTTAGCAATTCGAAAGCTTGCAACTAATATTACCACTGGTGAGAACAGACTAGTGCTTTTTTAGAGTGCATATTTGGAAATTAAAAGTTATTGCTTCTTCAACTCACTTAGGTAATAAAGAAGCTTCCACAGAAACAGTTGAGGAAATTTACTTACAAACCTCAAAGCTGCTCACGAATGTAGGCCATTGACCGCAACATAGAAGTAAGTGTGTCTCTTGAAACTTGGAATTTCACTTCATTTTCACCAGTGGTAGTTGTGCTGTCCTGAAGCTGAATCCACAAGACCTCAGATTAACATTCCGAGAAGTATAAAGAAAAAAGTTAAAAATAAGATTCAAAAATGTTATCAGGCCCTTGGTGACAATGAAAAAATTTAAGGTCTTTTTCGCTTTACTTACAAGTCCACAGCTAGATTATCATACTTTTCCATAACCTCAATTTGTTACTGTATTTTACATCCAGATGACCATGCCAAAGTTGTTGGTCGCAGTCTGCAAACATTCTAGATCTTTTTGTAAGTGATCATACATTCAATTGGGATTGAGTTCTACCTATTGCAGAATTTTATTATATCACTCCAGCCAACAGATCTATTGGCAACAGTCGCTTTCAAGTTGTGGCAGGAAGCCATTCCCAAAGCCCTCTATATTTGGTTATATGACATACTAGTACTCTATCTTAAAATTGAAACTGAAACCTTTACTGCATACATTCTGCACATTCATGATGAGATTCATCGAAGGAACTTTCACCAAATAGAAATACAAATATTTTGCAGTTTCTAGAAAGAATATGCAGAGTTTTTTGAAGGGGAAATAAATTTGCAAACGGTTGTGCCTGTTTCCTCAAAGGTAAAAAGCCTGATCTTTATCCCACTTTCAACAAAGCTAAAAGCTTGTCAAAATAAGTTCCTGTAAAAGAAAATCTTGTGCTACATTATGAAGATTATAGACAGCCCATGGAAACATACAGACAGACAGGACAGATATATTAATTACCAAGTCCATTTTGGGGCATTGGAGGAAATCAAAATAGTAAAAGAAGAAAGTATGTTTTTATAATTCCCAAGCATCCTATAATTTACAATATTTTAATCATGTTGTCAGTGATTATCTTGTCCTCTTTCTTTAACTCACCCAGAGCGTTCATTTTCCTACTGAACATCAGTGGCCCTTCTGATGATGGTTGCATAGATTCAACCATCAGCAGCTCTAACAGCTTGTTTTTGGATCTAAGGCCATCATCAGTACTAGTGTTTTCTTCAACTCTGATCTCAGTGTATCTTTTTATTCAATTGTTCCCCCAACTGGGGATTCAGAGGGGCGGAAAAAAAAGAACCCACCCTCTCAATAGTCTCATACAACGGCAGGCCGATAGAGAATCTAAATTTTCGTACAATGGGAATATAGGATAATCCTTGATGGGCATAACTTTTAGAACACCCAACGTGATGTGTTTATGGATTATTGAGAATTTAGTGGATTACAGAAACAATGGGGTATTAGATGTGAAGAAGTGTTATTGACATCAAAACCAGTAAGTATGTCAGATTGATGTTAATTCACTTCAGAATCTTGATGTCAGTCTGGATATGCAGAATTGCTAGGGATTTATCGGCTATCTGAAAGGATTAAAGATTTTTAAAGCATTTCAGAAGGCAGTCTTAGACAATGGAATATTGTTTAAGATGATAAGAAATTAGTGAAAGATCAAAAAAGAAAACAGTTTTTTTTTTTGGAAAATACAAGGAAAAAGACAAAATCATTCCAAAATTACATTGAAGAATATTAGATTGAAGACTGAATTCTTCGTAGTACCGAACAAGTAAATCATTAAAGAAAAACTTTTACATTTTCAACATTCAAAATCATAGTACGCTTAGTTGGAGAATATGACAAAACAATCAAGGTTTGGAGAGTCATTGACAAGATAATTAAAGTATGAAATAATTTTAACGCATTAAAAGCAATATCATGCATGTTACACCCTCTTTAGGAATAAAAACTCCTCCAATGCCTTTAAGGGGAATTTTCTCTAATTACTATCGAAAACTTCAAAACTAATCATCTAATTCCTATCATATGATACTTATTCCGTTCTTTCTACAACAACTCTTGAGTCTTTGACTGTTGCCTTTTCCTATGTTCTCAATCTTTAAGTTTCTAAATATAGATTTATAAGCAAATCACATTCCCCACGTATGTCCTTCCATTCTGGTACCAAATAAAAAATAAAACGTTTCAAAAGATAAAACAAAATAAAGGAAGGCAGATGAAGTTCCAAGCATATTGCATGCTTCTCACCTTTAAATTCATAACAGCAACCCTAGCTGGAGCAGAGAGCTGCTGACTTATATATGTCATTGATTTCAACATTGGTTCCAGTGTTACCTTTGTAAGCCTAAATTGCACATCTGTTTCTCCTGAAGGAATATTACCATGTTCTTGCAGCTGAAAAAATAATTGAAGCATGAGAAACAGATAAACTGGTGTGCTTGTTAACATAATCAAATAACGAAACGATAAAAAAGGTTTCCAGCATTTTGGTTTTTGAATTATTTATTTGCATATATAATCATATATATATAAATCGATATCCAAAAAATCGATCTTTAAACTGTTCGTATGACTCATCAAGCATACAATGCCCATAAGGTCATTCAGATAATATTTTAATAGAATCGAGCCATAAAAATTCCAAAATTTCACAATCTGTAAAAAACACTTAAACCACACAATACTAATCAAAATAATTGTAAAACCTAGCGTTGCCATTTGCATTCATGCTGGAAACCTTCTCCAACACGTTTGAAAGGTTTTAAACCTTAACGCCAAACAGCAATTAAAGTACAAGTAACATTTGAAGGAAAATGCCGAAAATGAATTGAGAATTACATTTTAAACCTCTTATACAGCCAAGAGCAAACTTTCTTATTTTTTTCTGTTTTATGATTTACCCAAGACCCTCTAAAAGTTCATACTTTATTGTTAACAGTTGAGCATCCACCCACAAGATGGAAAAGCTACAAACAGCAGATAACCAATCCAACATTTAAACACATAGGTAGTATCGGACATTGTATAGACAAACAAAATTTCAGCCTCATTATCTACTACAAATCACAGATTTCCACACACAAAAAAAAAAAAGAAAAAAATGATGCAAAAGATATTTAAGAAACACAAACAGGTGTATCAATTAACATGAATCTCCCATGGAAGCACCGTTACGATATTTGCTTGCACAGATGAAGAGTATATATAGAAGATAATGTTGATGCATTTATGTCATTGATACACCAGCAAATTTACGATATTTCCTTCCAGCACAATGACCCCTTTTCCCAAAATTCAGTATCAGAGTCCAATACCAGAAGAAATTGTTACGTGGAGCATACTCATTGAACGTTTTCCAAACCAGAAGGTTATAGTACAAGAACAAATTTCTCCGTCGAGTATACTTGGTAAATGAACTTTAGCAGAATATTTGATAGAAACAGATTACGACCTCGATTAATGGCCCGATTGATAAATTGATCATTTGACAAACTTCATTTCAAGCAAGGATCCAAAATTCACAATCATGAACCTAACTCTTACTGTGTCATCCTTGTTGATACTAACTCTAAAATTAGTCAGCTTTTTCATTGTATTTAGAATGCCAAAATTCATACCAGCTTTAATCTAAAGTGGTTTGAAGGTTAACTTCATTTTAATCTTGAAACTCATTTAAAGGTTTTCGCTTTGTGTGCTCAACTTACCAACATTAATCTTCTAATTGTGCCAATTTATTAAATCATTCTTAAGACAGCATAATCATGATAAATAACAAGCATAAAAAAACTCGAAGTTCATAACAGTATGGTATGCTATACCTTCATCTTAATCACAGCTACTTTATTTGAAGAATCCTTGTGTTCTATGACCCATGTCATGGACTTAAAACAAGAACGAACTACCTGCATGCATAAATGGAAAAGTCAAATTAATGAAATGTAATTCCATGATGCTCTTGCGGTTCACAATGCTTAGAGAGTAGCAGATAAAACAAACTATTGCAACTCTAGAGAATACCGTGCCATCAGCTAGCAAACTCTCACGGCTAAGAGACAGAGGAAGCGACGATGGTTGATTAAAGCCAGCAATAGGGATACCAAGATCATTCAGGTTAATCTGATGTGGCACGGCATCTTGCCATGGTTCTTGCCATGGCCACGAGGGAGAGGGCATATCAGGGAACTGTACAGGGGTCTTCTTGTTATTCTCTTCTTGAATGTATCCAACACTTTCAAGGAAATGTCCAGCCTTTGCCAAATTTTGCTTCACCGCCTCAATTTTCTTCACACCATCCCTTAATGCACTAATTGCAGCAATATAGGTTTCTGTAGCAATTGCTCCTTCCTCGGCATATTTTAGGGCTTCTCGACACAAAGTGTTGAAACGAGATGTAAGAGACTCCACATCTGGCAAGTCCAAACACTCATCATCAGACCTGAGTGCCTCTTTAGCATTCTTTGTCCACCTTTTCATTATATAATGGGCTGGAAGAGTAAGAGTATTTGTGACAGTAAAAACAGTCAATATGTGGCGGCAAAGAATTCCAGAGTACTCAAACATCTGACAGCTGCATTTTACTTTCATATCTACAGAATTGAACATCACAATATATGCTTTGTCATCTTGCTCATATTTTGCAACCCTAAACTTACTAACAATTCCATCACCATCAACATTATTGGCAGTATAAACAAAGGTCTCAACAAGTTCTTCTTGAAACTTTGCAAAGATCTTCTTCGTGTAAAGGTTTGCTGCTTGTTGTTCCATCGGTGAAGGAGTCTTTGTTTCAGGTTTAGACACAATTGTATCCAAATCTGATTTTAATTCCCTATCTAGAGAGTCTTCTAAAGCTCTCTCATACTGCTTGAAGAACATTGGAAGATTTGTCTGTTGATTAACATATCCATCAAAAAAAGAGATGAGCCTATGCTCTGATGAAAGTTCAGCGAAAAAAGTATCTCGAAAATAGACCGGTGCCCACTGCTTGCGAGCATTATATACAGCTTGAAGCCACTCATTTTTCTGGAGATCATATTTCTCAAGAAGGGAGCACCATGAAGACTCAAAATCATCAATTGTCTCTGAAAAGTTGATACAACTATACAACTTTGCATATAAGGATGGATGAGCTACATATACATGTGACAATCTTTCCCGACCCTCACGTAAGATATGCCACTTGCATATACAGTGACGAGATTCTGGAAGTACCTGATTAACTGCTGCTTTGATGGCTCTATCTTGATCAGTTGTAATAGAGATGGGAGGGCGATTATTCATTGCCGATAACCATGTCTTAAGAACCCACGTAAAAGAAGCTTCAGACTCATCAAAAATTAAAGCACAGCCAAATAGCACTATTTGACCATGATGATTCACTCCAGTGAAGGGAGCAAATGGGACCAAAAATTGATTAGGTCGATACATAGTGTCAAATGTAACAGCATCACCAAAGTGTGTGTATGATGTCCTTGATCGCGCATCAGCCCAGAAAACATTTATCATTCGATTCTCATCATCAAGTTGTATGGCATAATAAAATCCAGGATTTTCTGCCTGCATCGTCTTAAAATAATCAAGGAGATTATGAGCATCTCTTCCCAGAGTTCTTCGTGCACAGGGTTGATTAAGGTTGGCCGGAATGACAGGGTTACAATTTTGAGGAGAATTTATTTCGACAGGGGAGCCACTCTTTGCAACCTGATTGATATTCTTGTATACATGATTTCCATCAGCGGAAGCCAGAATGTCACTGCTGATAGTCATACACTCAGCTGCGTTCATGCTAGCCCCGGCAAAATGCCTTCGAGGGCGAAGATAATGCACCTGGGTAGGACTGACTGTAGAATGGTTATGATCCTCCACAAACTTAGTCACAACCCAACTGCCACAATCATTTCTATCTATCTGAAGCATAGCATTACAGCTTTCAACATTTTTCCTTTTGCTTACTTCTCGGTAACAAGCAAAATTCCAACTAACAATTGGTCCATCAGGCTTACTGCGGTTATACTTCCCAACACGCGTGCCGAAACCCACATTCATAGCATATGCATCATAAAAGCACTTTGCAGCTTCGTGAGATTTAAACTCCATGCCCACATATGGCTTATCATTTACATTGTGTATCTTACTGATTACCTCTGTTTCAGAAGGATTCCCAGGTACACTCCCATTTACATCCTCTCCAAAACAAGTACCTGATTCCACATCTTTTCGCCTCTTTCCCCGCTGTGTATCAGCTACTTCAATAATTTCATCCTCCATCATGTCGGTGGTATAATGCTGCAGCTTTGGCCTTTTCCCTCACTTCTGCATCTAGCTAAAGTCACATATTTATCAAAGCAAACTTGGAATTTTGTATCGGTTTATAGCGACTCCATAGAAGAAAGAGCATCAACTTGTGGTCCGATAGGAACCATTGCATAAATAACTGAAAGAAAAAAAAAAACAAAACAAGAAAAAATTTGTTTCAGCATACATTGTAGTTGTGAAACTGATAATAATAATTTAATAACCGAGGATCAGCACAGTTTTGAACTGTGAAGATTGACAGTCGCAAAACTCTCTTCTACTTTTGTCTCCCATGTTTGCTCCTTTGACCAACTAGGATAAAAAAATTCACCATATCAAACCGAAAGCTGAGATAGAAAGTCCAGCAGATATTCCAAGTGATACAAATATGGAAAGCCATGAAGAAACTAGGAAGACGAGTTATAACATAGCCAAATACAATTAGAAAGTAAAAGGTAGATTTTATGAGCATCTACCAGATACAAACAGACAATACTGCCAGATTAAAAAATAGAAAAAAAAGGGGTCATACCAATAAAGTTCAATATGAAAAGTAATTGTGGAGTATTAAAAGCTACACTACACCAAACGAACACCTTTGCCTAAATTCCATTAACCAAAAGTATAGCAAGACTAAAATTTCTTGCATTACAAAGGCACCTACACAGTTGCACTGCGCTGATTGCTTATCCATATTCAATAAATTAGGGTGTCTCTCCCAATGACATCTCACATAAAAGCTGATGCTGCTACACATTTCATGGTTGAATTAACAATCATTTTACAACCATGTTAGCAGATAAATGGATGATCTCAACAGAGTCGGGGAATTAACCAAGCCTAGCTAAACGACATGCATATATCTTTCAAACTAACAGAAAATAAAATGGAAATTGAAGTGGAAATGGAAATTCAGGGAACAAAATCGTATCTTCTAGTTCAGAAAGATTTTGCAAAGTTGGCACAATCATAAACTAATTTAGTCCATTGACGATGCAGCTAAGAGAACCACTCTTAGCCATCTGTACAAGCTTCAATAATGAACCAACAGATAATTTGTGTTGACAATCAGTATTCTCCTACAGAGACAATCGCATAAGCCAAGCCCTTGCCTCCTTTTCAATAGCGGCTTTCATCTACCATCTAACGTGCGCAGTTCTTCCTTGCTGAGCCCTAATGGTTACCAACCGCATTATAACAGAACTAGATTAAGCAACATTCTTTTGTGTCAGTTCACTACCATGGCTTTGATACCATACTAGGTACACGTCCATCAAATATTCGGATGCCTGTTCAATCAAACTCACTAAGTTCAACATTTACAATAATCCTTCTAGCCCGATCATGCAAAAAACACCTTTTACAAATTGTTCATTCTTCCGGTATTAAAAAATAATAATAATAATAGCGATCATCATAGAGTGGCAATTCAAGTCATGAAATCACAAAAATAGGCAATTCAAGCGTAGAATCACAAACATGACTTACAAAAATGCTAATGCTGCAGCACAATTATTCGAAAAACTCACCGGGTACAACAAAAGCCTTAGTTTCAGAATAAATATTGTTTCCTCCGCCAGTTCGATTATGAGAGGTCAATTTCAGTGCTAAATTTCGCCGGAGAAGTGGCTAAGAGAGTTAAATAAGGTCCGTGACGAGAGAGACGGAGTGGTGGCATCGGAAGGTGGACCTGGTGGTGGTAGTGGTGTGGTGGTGCTGTCTTCCGAGTTTGGAAGTAGTATTTATTAGAGCGCTTTAAGACTTAATAAAGAGGTTTCGTCTCAGACGGCTAAGTCATGCACGGCTTGGCTTGGCTTGGCTTGGTTCCACAGCTAAAATATGTTTTCTGTTTGTGTACATTATTGTCCAGACTAGATGCTTGCTCGGGCGTTGCCGAACCATTTACAGTAATATTTTAAAATTAAATATACAAATGATAAAATTACTTTTAAAATGGTAGTTGATAAATCCAATACCACTTTTTATAAGATCCAAGGCTAATTTTTCAAAATTCCTAACCTTGATTAATATTTTCTCTCTTTTTTTTCTTTCATTGAGCGGGAATTTCTATTGACGCCAAATCTTACTCTTCTTTTGAAGAAATTTTTTCATTTCTTCCCCTCTTTCGTAAAACGAAGCTTCTCCTTTTTTCTTTTTCTTTTTTTTCCTATAAGCGCTGCCATTAGTCATAAAGGTCACATTGTTTTCCTTCCTCAATCGAACGCATCTTCTCTATTTTCTTAAAATTACTATTTTTTTGCGTATTTCTAGAAATCAATTCAACAATTTATCTGTTCTTATTTGTTCTATCTTTATAAACGAAGTAAGTTATCATCTAGAATTTTTGGCTCCGTTTGGACGAGTTTTGAAAAAAATTTCAAAAAAGTCTTTTTGGAGCAAAATCTTAAAAAGACTTTTTGGAAAAAAAATCCATTTGGACAAAAATTTAACAAAAAGCTTTTTGTAGTTAAAAATATGAAAAAGCCATTTGGATTAGACCTTTTCCAAATGTACTTTTTGTCCAAAAATAATTATTGCACTTTTATTTAAAAAAAAGAGAGAGAAGAAATTCCTACACAAATTTTCATTTCATGATTGCCCTCCAATAAGGCATTTCGGGTGTGTGATTTACTTCATTAATGTCCATCCTTTTTGCTGGGAAGGATAATCAAGGAAATTTATGACTCTCGTTTTCTTGTGGGACCAATATATTCCGTCTAATAAGTACTTTCTATAGACAATTATTTTGAGCCACAAGCAGTATTGCATAAGATACGAAAAACTTCAAAAATTTCTGGGGTTCAAACACACCCATGAAAACCATACACCACAAGTCAAATTAAGTAGGAAACACCAAGAGAGAAACATAAGATGCAGCTTCTAGTACATATAATAGCGTAGTGCTACCATAGGTAGCAGTTAAAAGTAATTAGCAGATATCATCAACATTCATACATGCTCGAGACAAGCACCTGAAACATCGTAAGAGTACTAAATCCATGGGTTTTGGAGACCTATCAGCAAACTTTCAAGAGTTCTTCAGAGGAGAGACTAATCAAGATCATCGAAATATGGATGTTCCATTGCCTTCTTTGCTGAGATCCTTTTGGATGGTTCATAGTGCAACATCTCCTGCCCAAGATGAAACCAAGTACAACCAATTTATTGTTGAATACTACATGATTCAGGTGTTTCATGTTGCTGCAGGTGACTAATGAAGAGAAATGAAAATTTCTCAAAATTTACAGCGAAAAGGTGCAGCCCCTTGTCATCCAGATTAGGGACAGCTGATTTGAGTGACTGAGGGCTCCAGTGAGGAAACTCGTGCCAGTTTGGGAATTTGCTCAATCCAGGCCATACATCTTCATTGGGAGTTCCCAATAACCTAAATCAACAAGAACGATTAAAACTAACAATCTTTCCAACTCAATAGCAATAGAGGAAAACCGAAGTGACAGAAATGATTAAAACCAAAACCTGAAGATACGCAGCAGTTGTTTGAAGCTCAGAATCGCCCATGAAAAGGGCTTCCTTCGTAACAAGTTCAACTATTTTTTTGTAATAAAACACAAATAAAAAGTGATAGCTTAGAATGCGGAATATACTCGATATAGCGTCTGTCAAAATTAAAGAATTTTTACACAGAGTAAAGAGTCAACTGTACCAAATATGCAAGCCACAGACCACATGTCGACAGCTGTAGAATAGTGAGTAGAACCCAAGAGCACTTCTGGAGCTCTGTACCAGAGAGTTAATATCTGAAAATGTTGCATCATATGCATTAATCATACAATTTCAAATAGCTTTAATTACCATCATATACTATTCTGAAAATAATTAAAGAGATGACCAGTGAGACACACACCTCATGACTCTACTTCTTGATAGGCACGATCTAACTTCTGGCAAAACCAAGATCTGCAATTTTAAATGTATTTGTCTTGCGATCCATCAAGAGATTGTGAGGCTTCAAATTCCTGAATCACAACAATTCTAGGCTCAATATGCTACAACATGACCAAAATGGTCGATTTTTAAAACTAAAACTTTACAACGACAATATGGGAGAGACAATATACCGATGCAGAACACTGTGCCCATGGTAGAAAGCAACTCCCTTACAGAGTTGATACATCAAGCTTTGTGAAAAAAGATCAATTTGCACAAAGGCATGTTATTTAAGACATCTCTCATCTATGGAACAAAAACCATAGGGAGCAAAACCATCAAAGCAAGGGTGAAAAAAATATAAGTAAACAGAGACAATGGTGAGAACAGAAGCTAAAAGAGAAAAGCTGAAGAAGAGAAAAATAGGATACCTAAAAAGTAAGTTTAACTCATAAAGTTCATCTACAATATGTGAGATGAAGTACCCAATAACTAGAAGTATTCAATAATCAGAAATCAATGAAACATTATAAGTCCACATAGAGATAGAGGTGCAGACATATGAAGCTTAGTTAAGTCACATTATGACGGCAGAAATTGCCTTAGACTTAGTACACCGCCATAAGAGAGCACTGAATCAACCTTGACATAGTCTCCTCAGGAAATGGCTAAAGCCTGAAAACATTCTTGGCACATTAAAGAATTTAGTACACGAATAATTACATGGTGGCTAGAAACTGATATCTAAAAGATTAAACTAGTGATTAAACTGAATTCAGTAACTAATTACAATAGAAGCCTAAGTATAACCATAGATATCATAACTATATCTAAAAGATTAAGCTAGTGATTAAACTGGTTCACAATACAAAATTGCACTCAATATCAAAGGTTACTCGAAGAAGTTAAAAACCATAGAGAGTAATTCACAAAAGCAAAACAGAACTATATTTAAAGACTGAACCTACAAACTCAGCCTTTATACTCATTGACCCTGATAGTAACAGAATGACAATAACATTATCATATGGACAAAATTTCCCTGTCATAAACTGATCAAGCGTACTGATGAATGACGATAACTTAATCCATCGCCTAGTGAGATCACAATACAGTAGAAGTATGGGATTCATGTTAAAATGAACATACAAAGTTCTGAATCATATTGTCCATACAACAACAGATTTGGCAATCTTAGTGCGTTAGCCCAATCAATAGAGAGTGTATTCATTCATGGCCATATTTTTCACGCATATCAAGTTTATGGCTTTATTCCCCAACAATAATATCTGATGTCTTATCTTTTTGAGTTGTCCCTATAATGCCCAATCACTTAACATTTAATATAAAACACAATATAATACTGGAGCAGAACATTAGTTTGATATTCAATCTCAAGTCCATGTTACTCTTTTTCACAACTACAAATTTAGAAAATCAACCGGTTACAGGCTACGATGGTTTCCAATTTGTCAAGAATCACATGATTTCTTCTGTTGTTCTACGGGGTAGTCAATGAAATATTGACATCCTCTGGCTTCATGGTCTTAAACAAAACTAAATAAACACATTCAACCAAGAAAAAAATTGAAGAGAAATTAAAAATAACGGCAGAGAAGCCAACAAATCGAGGGCAGGAAGCTAGACCCGGTATGAAAATAAAGATTCAATCTTTCCACTCAAACAATCAGCCATTGAAGAGATGCAAGGACAAACATACATCCAAAAAAGGGGGGAGAAGAACCCAGTTCAGATTCCTGAAACAGAATTCAATTTCGACAGAGATGTAGAAAATAACGGGGAAAAAAGACTATAAATATTAATCATCTATCTCTAACCTTTCGTCTACGGAGAAGTTCAGTGTTGCTGCAACGGTTTCAAGATCAGTTATGGAATTAAAGACCCTTTTCTGTTACCTTCCGAAAAATAATCGATTTACTAAGAAGGATACACAACGATTTCAGATCTAGAGTGAGAGAGATGTTTGCTTTGAGCTCTCCATGACAGCGGCGTGAATGGGTAGAAGTGAGAAGGGCTACGTGTTTCTCTTTGTATAGTTAACCCGAATTGCCTAAACCTAGTATTGACCCGTCATGGAGACCCGCGAAGTTTTTATATTTAAGCTAAAAAGTCTGTTCCGAAAATTTGAAAAATACCTCCCACTTATTTTTTAAAAAGTCTGTTTCAGACCTACTTTTTTCAAAAAATAATTTCAGAAAAGATCCTAAATTTGTTGGCCAAATAACTTTTTGATTCTAAATAGACTTTTTAGCTCTAAAAGACTTTTTAAAACTCTTGTCCAAATGGAGCCTTTGTTTTTTCTCTTCTTTTCTTTTCTATCAATTAATTATTCAATTACTGCTCTAATATTGTTGGGGGAATGGATTTCTGATCTCTTTTACTAATGAAATTTTCGTTGTTGTTATTGTCCTTGTTAACAAAAACCTTTCCTTTCTTTTTTTTTTTTTTTGGTATTTTAGCAATGTAAAATCTGGCGGTAAGAATCTTATATTTTGTAATTGTTTATGTATAAGAAATCTGCATAGCCTGCATTTTGTTAGTAAACTGGAAAGGGAGATAGTGAAATTAGTTCAAAGCTGAAGAATTCCAGTTCAAGTATTCATTTATATATATTGATGAATCCATTAACTATATGTTTCAATCTTTCTTTTACCATCTTAATACCCATTTTTAAAATTTATTCTCCAGAGTTTGCACCAAGATGGTAAATAGTGAGAGTTCGTGCGAATGATTTTGAAAAATAAAATTCGTTGTAAAAATAATGTTTAGACGTTGAGCTCAAATTTGAAGGGATTAATATTATTTAGCCTGCTTGA